CCTCTGTTATTACTTATTTATATTAATGATCTGACTCATGGGATAACGAGTAATATTAAACTTTTTGCTGATGATACATCTTTATTTCTAATTATTGAAGATCCTGAATCCACAGCCGCTATATTGAATAGTGATTTAGAATGTATATCAAACTGGGCAAGTAAATGGCAGGTGAAATTTAGTCCTTCTAAAACGGAAGCCATGTTATTTTCTACTAAAATTAATCCTAGTCCTAAATTACCTCTGCGAATGAATGATATTCTTATACCTGAAGTAAGTGATCATAAACATCTAGGACTTGTATTCCAGGAAGATGGAAAATGGCACAAACACATTGATTATATTGTACGTAAAGTGAGCCCATCAATTAATTGTTTGCGTAGCCTGAAATACCGTCTAAATCGAAGAACGCTCGAAACCATGTACAAATCTTTTATTTTACCTATTTTTGATTATTGTGATAATATTTGGGATAATTGTAATAATGAACAAGTAAAACTATAAGAAAATTTACACTTGGATGCTCTACGAACAATATGTGGAGCAGTACGAGGAACCAGTCACAAAAAAACTTTATAGGGAAACGGGTTTATGCTCACTGTCCGACAGACGACATTACCATAAATTATGTATATTTTACAAAATGGTCAATGGGCTAATTCCTAAATATCTATCTTTATGGGTCCCACCTAATATATCCAGCATAACTGGATATAACCTTCGTACTTCTAATGACTTCCAGACCAGTGCAGGACGCTTATCCCAGTATAATCGATCTTTTTTGCCATCTGTTATACAAGCTTGGAATGCACTTGATTTTAATATTAGAAATGTAGATTCCTTATCTCGGTTTAAGCAATTAAATTCTAGAGAAACTAAGCTTACTTCAAATTTTACATCTTTTGCTGGTTATGGCCAGCGGCAATGCCAAGTGATTTTATCTAGACTTAGGCTAGGTTGTAGTGATTTAAAATCACATTTATTTGACAGATTTTTGATTGATAATCCCATCTGTCCATGTGGCCTAAATAGAGAAGATGCTTTCCACTTTTTCTATCTTGTCCACGCTATGCCAAGTTTAGAATTGATAAATACTTTTTTGTTAACCAGCTCAGCATACATACTATATTCCACGGCAATGAAGATTCATCTCCCTAAGAAAATGAACACGTTATAAAATCAGTTCACAATTACATCATTGAAACAAACCGCTTTACGTAAGTTATGTGTCAACTTAAGAATATAAAATGCATTTGGTATCTTGCTTTCCATTTTATTTCATTTTGTGTTACACATTAATGTCTGCTCTATAGACTTCATTACAATCTACATGTATGATGTACAATGTTAGGAGAAGCATTAATAAAGGCCTTTTTGGCCTGGTTGTTAATCCTTTTTCCATTTTGTAACGTTATGTAATGTAAAATCTGAACATTAATGGAAATAAAATACTGTTTAAATCATCGTAACTCCCATACTTTAATATAGGCCCACAACAGTCGTAGCGCTAAGATCGCTTTGTGCAAGTGGGCCCTGGTCTGGATGGCATGGGATTTTGTTTTTTATAAATCAACAAGAAACGATGTAACTCTTTTGCTTACTAAACGCTTTAATAAAATGCTTTTCAGCAACCCATTCCTAGACGTCCGTTTCACAGGTCTGGCAGTGTTCGTGTCTCAAACAACTATAGAGGTATGTAGGTCCTTAATGAATCATTGTGTGAAGCGTTAACAGGTGTGGTAAATCCAAGACGAAAACAGTGGTGTGACACTAATAATGTAATACTGGAATCACAGGCTGGATTTCGGACAGAATACTCTACTATTGACCAAATGTTGACACTTCAGGCTATGATCTAAAATACCTAGTTAAGAAGAAGGAGCGATTTTACTGTCCCTTCGTTGACTTTTTTAAGCGCTTGGTCGTGTTAATCATGCTGCTCTGTTTAAAATCTCCAACAAATCGGAGTCAGTTTTTTCTCTCAAGTTTTTTGTTTCTATGAACTGTACTACTCTCAGCTTGTGTTAGGATGGACACGGGACTTGTGTCAGGGTGGACACCGGGCTTGTGTCAGGATGGACGTCGGGCTTGTGTCAGGATGGACGTCGGGCTTGTGTCAGGATGGACAACGGGCTTGTGTCGGGATGGACACCGGGCTTGTGTCAGGATGGACGTCGGGCTTGTGTCAGGATGGACGTCGGGCTTGTGTCAGGATGGACAACGGGCTTGTGTCGGGATGGACACCGGGCTTGTGTCAGGATGGACACCGGGCTTGTGTCAGGATGGACGTCGGGCTTGTGTCAGGATGGACACCGGGCTTGTGTCAGCATGGACACTGGGCTTGTGTCAGCATGGACACCGGGCTTGTGTCAGGATGGACACCGGGCTTGTGTCAGGATGGACGTCGGGCTTGTGTCAGGATGGACGCCGGGCTTGTGTCAGCATGGACACCGGGCTTGTGTCAGGATGGACGACGGGCTTTTGTCAGGATGGACACCGGGCTTGTGTCAGGATGGAAAACGGGCTTGTGTCAGGATGGACAACGGGCTTGTGTCAGGATGGACACCGGGCTTGTGTCAGCATGGACACCGGGCAGTTTTAGATGCATGTGCCTTCCTCGCCTTACGGACATAGTCGATTACTTTATTTCTTAACAGCCTAAAATCTGCCCAGTCAGCTGGAGTATTACGTCTTTTAGTTTGATCGGGCATCCCATATCAAGCATTGAACTCATGAGTGTTGATTCGTACAGTAACGTAGCTTACTTATTAATAATAATTAAAAAGTATAACTATGCATAAGTTACTAAAGTGTGTAAATACGTTGTGCTTAAAATGATTTATAACCCACCTATTATAAATAAACTATTAACCTTCACCCGTAATGCGCATTAAATTTTTCATGTGCAATAGCGAACTGAAACCTTAGTGGTTTTTAGAATCTAAACGTGCAAACATGTATCAACGTATAACTGTTTGATACAATGATTATTAAAAACTTAATCCCCATGGTGTAAGAGGGATAATTATATTTGTCCTTAATTCCATGTAAATGACAAAAAATATAGAGAGAGTTAGTTATCTAGAAGATAACATGCACCTAAGTTATTATATACATTTTTTTAAATACCATGATGTGTATATTTAGGCTTTAAGACACTATATTGTGTATTGACTAACTTCGTCACCAGGTTTTAGTAACCGTTGGTTTCAAACATTCCCCCCCCCCCCCCCCACCCCCCCCACCCCACCCCCCACCCCCCACACCCCTTACAACCAACCAATCAACTCCCAGTCCCATCCTCCCCCCCCCCCCCCCCCACCCTCACCCCACCCCACCCCACACAGACACACACAGAGGACAAATAAATAGATGACAATGAACACAGTCTGAAAAAGATCCTCATATAACAACAACAAGCACTATTTCTTTTTGCATATTGTTCATAGTATCTACATATACTGTGAACATTAACAATATTGAAAACCTGTCACAGATTATTACTTAGACCTATAATTGATAATTGATTATCATCATCAATCTTGGATATATTGAATTCCACAGCTTTTGGGTGAATGCAGATGGCAAGATAATAGGGGTGACTATTGAGGCATTTTTGACTATTGCGATACTATTGCGATAGTTAAAACAACTATTGTGATACTTTTGCGATAGTGGCCCTACTATTGCGATAGTTTTCACTTGCAATTATAGCAGGCTTTAGCAGCATATATTTCAGCATTTTGACTGACACCCTCAAAATAATTATAACTTTCTGATATTATTTGTACAGAAAACAAGAAATGAGAAGAAAACAAGTTCAAATTGACCTCTCAAAAACATTTTAATACAAAATTTCACTTCATGTAACTTGTAAAGTCTTAGGTTACTGTAGTGTTTTAGCACAAATGTGAATGAATGTGATTGAATGACTAGTATTTGACTATACAAACTGTCAAACTAATTGTCACAATGGCATTCACTGAATGACTAATGCGATTCAACATATCAATTAGGAAACAAAGTTGACAAAAACTGACATGTGGCGTCCGCCATCTTGTCAATGTTGCCTAGCGACGAGTAGCTAAGGGACGTAATTCTAAATCAAGCAGACAAAGTAGTGGAATCCAAACGAAAGCACGACAGGTCTTGAAATTTCAAGATACTTACTCATTCCGAGGTTGCTGATTTTCTTGAAATGTCAAGATGCAAACTTGAAATTTCAAGAAAATGAGCAACCTCGAAATGAGTTAGTTCCTTGAAATTTTAACTTGTTATCTTGAAATTTCAACTTATGTATCTTGAAATTTTTAGATCATTATCTTGAAATTTCCACTTACGTATCTTGAACAAAATAAGTTTGAAATTTCAAGATACAAAGTTAAAATTTCAAGATACTAAGTTGAAATTTCAAATTATAATCTTAAACTTTCAACTTATTATCTTGAAATTTCAACTTAGCACGTATCTTGAAATTTCAACTTATTATCTAAAATTTCAACTTAGAATGTATCTTGAAATTTCAACTTATTATCTTGAAATTTCAACTAAGCACGTATCTTGAAATTTCAACTTATTATCTTAAAATTTCAACTTAGTATGTATCTTAAAATTTCATCTTATTATCTTGAAATTTCAACATAACATTTACAAAATTAAAAAAAAAAATAGACCTCAAAGGCTTCAGTAGCAAGGAGATATTTTGTATGAAAGAAATAATTTTGAGCCAGATGTTAAATCCCATTTCAACTCCCGTCTCCCATGAAAAATGTTTTGATGAATAGTTCTTTGTCAGGGATAAATCTATCAGTGCAAAGACCTCAAACGTATCTGACGATAGAATAGATGCATGACTCTGCAGGATGTTGTATGTGATAATACTATGTGATAAACAGAAGCGGTATCTCATCTATCTTGCTCATAGGCGACATCGAGCGATGTGAAAACTTCAAGTCACCGCCTTGCGTACGGTACATGTCACGTGACCTTCTGCCACGCCGCTTTCCTCGATTCGAGCGCTGCGCTGCTCATTCCGATACCGACAGTCCGCTGGAACGCTTGTTGATAGCCGTGTGACATTTCCGAAGATGCCGTCCTACAAATACGTCTATTTCAATGTGCGGGGTCGCGGCGAGATTCCAAGACTTGTTTTGCACTGTGCGGGTGTCCCTTTTGAAGACAAGAGGATTGAATTCGACGCATGGCCCGCGTTAAAAAAGGGTAAGTTGTAAATATCGTTATAAAGAGGAACTATAGTTCATTTCATTTTCTGATTTGTGAATGTTGAAGAATTATCAAAACATACATTGAAAATCACATGTTGATGAGAAAACAGAATTCGCCTTTTAACACAAAATTTAACAGCAAAACGTCAACGATTTCCTCTGCCGTAAACGACTTTGTCTACTAATTGCCGAGCGAAAACGGCCCCGTTCCACAAAGCGATCGTAGCACTCCCTCCCATCACTTTAACATAGAATTACGACAGTCGTAGCACTCCCTCCCATCACTTTAACATAGAATTACGACAGTCGTAGCTCTACAATCACTTTAAGGAAAGGGTCCTGATGTTATTTGGGCCGGTGTTTGCTCAATTGGTAAGTCATCTGAATTTAAAGATAGAAACAAAACAAATTCAGATATGCATCGACCAGTTAACAATTATTTGAAAATTCAAAAAGAGAGTTATGATGTTTAAACGTTGATCATATTCAATCGAACAAATGGAATACTTACTAACATTCTTGCAAAATATTATTTAATAATGGTAATTGCCAAATATGCAATACGGAAAAAATGCATCTTCTTCTTAACCTTTGAATATGCCGTCAATGCATATTGCATATTGTGAATCAAATGTTATTAGGGCAATACAAAATTGCACTCAAAAATCAATTTTGATTCATCATAAATAACTAAAATCTAAACAAACATTCAATTTTGGAATTTTTTTTATCTAAAACGATATGAACATGTTTGCGCATATAGCATTCTATGAGCTCTTACTGTTAAACGATAACTTTAAAACCCCCGGATCGTATGTTGCAGGCAATATGTTTCACATTGCATATAAACGTCCTCACACAGCTGTCGCACAGTGACCTCGTTTTTAGAATATACGACAAGCCCCACTCACGAACAATACCTTTGTATCTACTTGTAAGGCCTTGTAACTATACGGATTCTGCCGTGTCATGTTGCTCACGTATTCTGCCATGTCATGTTACGCATGTACCATTCATCATTAACAATCCAGGGCCTTTTCATGATGTTACGATCACTGAACGTTAATTTTAGACTATTGTATTGGTGGTTACTTTCGTGCTAAAACCGGGGGCACGGGTGGCCCAGTCGTCTAAGGCGCCGCGATTCGCTGTGCAGAGTTGCGTCCCTTGGGCACGCCAGAAACCTATGATTGTGTGTTCGAATCCCGGTTCGACCCGATTATGTTTCTAGGTTTGTCAGCACCATACCCGTGCTCGTGGGTTTCACCGAAGTGGTAAACGTCTTAGACTTGCATCACTTCGGGCTTTCTTCCGACATTAAGCTGACACGCCATGATATAACTGGAATACTGTTAAAAGCGGCGTAAAAACCGACGATGTAAAACCCAACTCACTCACTCACTCACTCCTGCTAAAACCAAGTTTCTAATGTGTCAGTACCATGGCATATCGAATGGTATTTGTGTGACGATGTGCCACAGCAAAGTTTCCATCTGGGTGCCGTTGCACAAAGCGATATTAGCGCTAAGGTGATCGTAACTCCCATACCTTGACATAGACTTACGACAGTCATAGCGCTAAGGTTGTTTTACGCAACGTCACCCTCGTCGTTTCGAGTATCCATATCATGCGTTGAGTGTCACGAATCTTGGTCGGTGTCACTAAAGTAAGAGAGTGAGTTTTAGCAATATCCCAGCAATATCACGGCGGGGCACACCAGAAATGGGCTTCACACATTGTACCCATGTCGGGAATCGAACCCGGATCTCGGCGTGACGAGCGAACGCTTTAACCACTAGGCTACCCAACCGCCCCTGTGTCACTAAAGGACAATTGCACTATTACTGCCACAAATCTTCACAGTATGAGCGTAGCTTTACAAGTAAACTTCATCTTCAGTGAAACGGGTCGTACATTTAGACGCCCAATGTCATCAGCACAATAGCCATAGAATCACACTACCTCGCCTACACCACACCTGATGGCGGGCGACACATTCCTGTCTATCAGATTAAAGTCTTACTTGCTTTGACAATTCTAAAGAGTTTCCTGTGAAAAGGTTCTCCTCGATTCAGCTTTATAGGTCAACGAGTGACTTCACTGCGTGGTAGTCTCATTAAAGCCAAATGTTAGTTCTCGCTACCGCAAAGCACAACTCTGAGGTCATCCCAATTACGAGTTGGGTCAGAACGACCTTTCATCCGACCAATCAGAGCGTCGCTACCAGATCGGGATGACAGTCGGAATGTGTTTTGTAGTCATGCAACCTCGAATTGGTTAACACGGGGTATTCCGAACGACAGTTACCGGCTGTACGACTCATTCCGTCAAAATCATCTATCTCTGGTTTAAGTGGGATAAACATTTGAAACATTCCATATATAGCCCATGGGAAGTACTGCCAAACAATCTCAGCCACCTATTAGTCATCCAGAATATCTTTTGTTCAGTTTTCAGTTTTGAATCGAAAACTGTCAGAATATTTCTTTTAAAGCAAAGGCTGGAACAGAAGTCGCCAGTGTGAAACTAATGCCATGGAGCGCGAGAAAGCTGCTTTCTGATTGGCTGATGTCGACTTCTTGTAAGACGTTTCATTGGTCGATCAAAGTTCGCGAAAGGTCGTTCTTAAGTGATCTGTAATCTCAGATCGTTATTTAGCAGTAGCGAAACCAAGATCGGATTTTAATGGGATTACACTGAATGGAAGATGCAGTTTCATCGTCTACGCTTATTATCCCCCGCCGCGCGAAAGCGCGAAGCGGGGGATATAGTATTCACGACCGTCCGTACGTCCGTCTGTCCGTACGTCCGTCCGTACGTCCCACCTGTTTGTTGCCGCGATATCTGAAGAACTAAACACTGGATTGTCTTCATATTTGGAACTATGGTGTATATACAGACTCCGCAGACACCAGTCGGTTTTGGTGACCTTGATCCTATTTTCAAGGTCACAGCAGACAAATCTGCTTTTAGAGTTGGAAAACGGTGTTGCCGCGATATCTCAAGAACTAAACACTGGATTGTCTTCATATTTGGAACTATGGTGTATATACAGACTCCGCAGACACCAGTCGGTTTTGGTGACCTTGATCCCATTTTCAAGGTCACAGCAGACAAATCTGCTTTTAGAGTTGGAAAACGGTGTTGCCGCGATATCTCAAGAACTAAACACTGGATTGTCTTCATATTTGGAACTATGGTGTATATACAGACACCGCAGACACCAGTCGGTTTTGGTGACCTTGACCCCATTTTCAAGGTCACAGCAGGCAAATCTGCTTTTGGAGTTGGAAAACGGTGTTGCCGCGATATCTCAAGAACTAAACACTGGATTGTCTTCATATTTGGAACTATAGTGTATATACAGACTCCGCAGACACCAGTCGGTTTTGGTGACCTTGATCCCATTTTCAAGGTCACAGCAGGCAAATCTGCTTTTAGAGTTGGAAAACGGTGTTGCCACAATATCTCAAGAACTAAACCTCTCGATTGTCTTCATATTTGGAACTATGGTGTATATACAGACACCGCAGACACCAGTCGGTTTTGGTGACCTTGACCCCATTTTCAAGGTCACAGCAGGCAAATCTGCTTTTGGAGTTAGAAAACGGTGTTGCCGCGATATCTCAAGAACTAATCGCTGGATTGTCTTCATATTTGGAACTATGGTGTATATACAGACTCCGCAGACACCAGTCGGTTTTGGTGACCTTGATCCCATTTTCAAGGTCACAGCAGGCAAATCTGCTTTTAGAGTTGGAAAACGGTGTTGCCACAATATCTCAAGAACTAAACCTCTCGATTGTCTTCATATTTGGAACTATGGTGTATATACAGACACCGCAGACACCAGTCGGTTTTGGTGACCTTGACCCAATTTTCAAGGTCACAGCAGGCAAATCTGTTTTTGGAGTTGGAAAACGGTGTTGCCACAATATCTCAAGAACTAATCGCTGGATTGTCTTCATATTTGGTACTATGGTGTATATGGCGGGGGATATTTCGTCACTCTGTGACAAATACTTGTCTGTACTTAATCTGTTCGCTTGTTTGTCCATATCTAACAAATTTGGACCATGACCTAGACATGAAACTGTCTGGGATCACTGTTGTGTGTGTCTCTACATAAAGTCTGTACATGTAGTAACTTGGGCCTACCGAACAACCTGGCTCAATAGTGTAGGCTCTGGGATTTACAGAACACTTCCATTTCACCGATTTTTAAAACATCATTTTACCTACATCTATGTGCCTGTTTCTAATTTAACCACTTACTCCAAATACGCAGATATTTCTAATCGAAAGTGAACTTTTGATAAGGGAACGAAAACTAGTAGGTTATGGAGGTCAAAATGGCGTCCAAGATTCAGCTGCCACCTGATTTCGGTGATAATAAATGACGAACGAATGCGGGGAAATGGTAAATATATAAAGTATTTCAACATTCCCGTGACCCCTCTAACAATGGAAACCCTTTCAAAAACGGAGTACACAGACGGAAAGCTCTTACACACGGTGCTGAAAAGTGAAAGCTCTTCCAAACAGTGCTAAAAACTGAAAGCTCTTTTACACACAGCGCTGAAAACTGCCAGCTCTTACACATAACGCTGAAAACTGACTGCTTTTAAATTCAGCGCTGAAAACCGACAGCTCTTACACATAACGCGGGAAACTGAAAGCTCTTACACATAACGCTGAAAACTGCCAGGTCTTGCACACAGTTCTGAAAACTGAAAGCTCTTTTACACACTGCGCTGTAAACTGCCAGCTCTTACACACTGCGCTGTAAACTGACAGCTCTTACACATAACGCTGAAAACTGCCAGCTCTTGCACACGCTGCTGAAAACTGAAAGCTCTTTTACACACTGCGCTATGAACTGACAGCTTGTACGAACGGAACTCGCAAACTGAAACCTGTTCCGAGCTCTAAACAGTGAAACAAATACCCGGAGACTTAAACCTCTTACAAACACAGCACTGAGACTATCAGGTG